TCTCTGTGGACAGAGTTCCTATTCCAGTCCTCTGAAGATGCCGGCCACAGAGACTAGCGAAACGTCAGGAAGAACAACCTTCAGAACATGGCCAAAGGGCACGAAAAACCCACAACAACCATTAGATCCTGGCCGTGAAAGCCTTCGCGAAAGCATGACCTATGTTTGAAGTGAGGCACATATTGGGTCTGTGTGACTAAAGCGCGTCTTTAATTCAGGGGTGGACAATGTTTCTCTGCCATGCCCACTCTATGTGTTTTTCGCTGTTGGGTATATTGGCTAGGGCTGCTACGAGTTATGGTCCAAAAGCATCTTTGTGTAGCCCTGCTTTCGTAAGTGATCTCTCTCCTGTAAATGTGAATTAACTATTTATCCAAATTACCTCATGAAATGTACTGTAAAAATTTCATTCCCTCACCTGTCAGGCCAATTTCATTATATGATTCTTACAGATCAATCTAATGGGAGGGGAAGACATCCTATGAAAGGACTGCTTGAGCTTTGCCAGTGTGCTGAACCCAGACTGAGCGACTCAGGGCACCTTCTTCCTCATATTTTCACTCCTTGCTTTTGTTTTTTGTATTTGTTTAATTCCCCCTGTCCACTGCAGTCGGTGGAAGGGCTGGTGCCATTGAGTCACCTTTTGTGAGGATCTAACAGTGGAAGTTACATTGCCCACTGACACATGACTGACAAGAAAAGAACATTAGTGTTTATAAATAAAGGTAATTAACAATACATCTTACCAAATCAATTTTGATTTACAGAGATTCTTTCCAGAGTTTTTGAGGAATAGAGTACTCAGAAATGGTTTGCTATTTCCTCATTCTGGGAGCATTCTGGGATTGTGCGCCTTTCCCAAGGTTATTCTTCTCTCAGGAATCACAAACAAGTAACTAGTCCAGGTTCTGAAGAAAACTCGAAGACCCATTTCCATTTCCCCCTTTTGCAGACCATAAGCAATATGATTCTCTAGTTTACCTGAAGGGCCATGAGTGATGAAGGTCCACAGTTCTTTTATAAATTAATCCTCATGCAGGATTCTAATATAACCTGAATACAGCCCCCCCCCAATCTGTTTTCCAAGTTCCAGTTTTGTCCGGCAAGTTTTACTTCAATTAATCCCTCCCATGGACAGGAATGGATTTGAGTATTTAGTATTGATTCGAGTGACCATTTTTAATACAGTATTTGTTTTATTCTTTTTAAATATTTATATACTTACTATTTTTAGCTTTCAAATATTGCATTTTAATTGCTATAAGCCACCACCGGTTCTTTTAAGGAGAGAGGCAGGGTAAAAACAGTTGGAAGGAAGGAAGGAAGGAAGGAAGGAAGGAAGGAAGGAAGGAAGGAAGGAAGGAAGGAAGGAAGGAAGGAAGGACAGTTGAAAAAAACTTGTTTTGCAGCCAATATAAATTGGTTTCACCCATGTGTCTTGTGTCCAGGAATCCATACATCGATATAAATAACATTATTATCCATTTAACTGCAGTTATTCTTGCCAGTGGAACCATACCCAAAGTTCATTAAACTACCACTAGTCACTGCAACATGGTTGGAGTTCTAGACTCTTCTTAAAAATAAAACAACAGGGCTGCAAAATGAAGACTAGAGTGAAGACAAAGATGGTTCTGCCATTTCATGCACACCCATAAAAGCTTGGAAGTTACAAGTAATACTTCCCTAAAGGTCTTAACTGCAAGAAAATAGTGCAACACGAGTGACAAGTAACATAATTCCCTTTAGTAACCTCTTTTGGGTAATTAGTAATGGAACAAGAAATTTCAAAGTTAATTTTAGATGAAATATTACATGTAACATTAACATTTCTAGTTACTTTTGAAAGTTACTTTTAATTATTATTTTAAGTATTTTAGGAGCGTTCTTAAAATACTTTTAGCTGCCGCCCCCCTCAATTTTCTGGCAAGGGAAGTATTCTTTTGTTTTGCCTTTCGTGTTTTAGCAAATATTTGCAAACTACAGTATCAAAATTGGTCACAAGAGGGAACTAGAGAGTATTTGCTTCTTCTTTTTTGGCCCACCATTAAAGACAACAGAGTGTGTTGATAACATGCAATGCAACAATGGATAGGAGCAGTGGTAACTATAACAACAACCTGGCTATGGAGAAATAATGAGTTCTTTAAAAAAAAAAAAAAGGATGGTCCAAGTTCTGAGTTAATTCTACTTCAGCACAGGTGACAGGACAGTGTCTTTTACTGCAGAGATGTATCTTGTAACAAAGGGGATTGACTGGAAAGGGAATGTCTGATACCAATGATTCCACCCACCCACCCACCCGCAAAAGCTTGGTAGCTGTTACTCATTGCCGAATGGCCCGCCCTAGCTGCAAGGAAACAGTGCATCACCATCTGCTGGCTGGAGGTGCTACACATCTAATCAATACAATAGCTGTGGCATGTTTAGCGGTCCCCCATCTCTTTAATAATCTGCTGTTCAAGTGACTTAAACTAAAGATCACCCCTTTGAGACTGCAATGGAACCCATCCCGCCCCACATTTAACCACAGGGCTATTAAGGTAATAGGCATTAGTGTTAGATCTTCCCCTGGGGAGCGTTTATTTCACTTTGTGGTTAATAGCTCTGTACTGTCTTACAGCCTGCCCTTGAGGTGCCAGCTGCCTGACTCCTTCAAAGCTGGTGGTGTGTTTTATTTCTTTCTCCTGCATTTCCCTGCTCTTTTCTGCCATTAAGAAAAGAATGCTGAGCAGCCTTCTCATTTTTCCTGTATCCTCGGGCTGATATATTTATAGGGAGATTTGACCTAGGAAGGAGAGGAGAATACATAGGGCCAATTAAACAGCTGCGCAAGGTGTTTGAGGCGGGCAGAGATCATATCTTCCAAGTGGCAAAATGTTGCAGTTTAAATAAGAATCATAGGATTATTCTTATGCTGCATCAAACGAAAAGCTGTCCAGTCTGACATTCTCCTCTCTGTTATTTCTAACACAGCTACCTGGATAGCTCATGGAGCTCAGCATCTGCCCGAAGAGCCAGAGGTTGAGAGTTCAACTCCTCACTGTGTTTCCTGTGAGAAGAACCATCCTGTGTAGCCTTGGGCAAGCTGTAGAGTCCCAGGACACCCCCAGAAGAAGGCAATGGTAAATGTCTTCTAGGTACTTCCTACCTGGAAAACCCTGGAAAGGGTTACCATTACTCAGAATTGATTTGATCGCACATTATTATTAGTAGTACTGTATCAAAAAATGCCAGGCACAATCAATCAAAATTATAAAAACATTGTCTGGTGTTATATCATAGATACAAGTTTCAACCAAAAACCTAAGTATCTGTTAAATATTGACATAGTATATATGCTGTTTCTAATGTTGCCATTTTTGTAGCTCTGATAATGTTACTTATGAAATCTGCAACTGCTTATATTACTGTGTGAAATTTCATGATATTGTTCCCAAAAGCCCCAATGACAATGGGGACGACTGAGGTATGTTTCATCCACAAGCGAGAAGTTTCAACTGCCAGATCTCTGTATTTTGTTAATTTTTCAAATTCTTTAGCTTCAACTCTGGCATCTCATAAAATTGCAATGTCAATGATCCAGACATTTCTTCATTCTGTTACTACTATGGCTGGTGTGTTATGTTTGAGATGTTTATCAGTTTGGATCTGGAAATCCCACAAGATCTTGACTTCCTCATTTTCTGGCACCTTCTCCACCTGATGTTTCCATGGGTTTTTGGAAGCTGGCAAGTTATTATTATTATTTTTTGCATAATGATGAGTGCACTGATTTTGCCACTCTATCATGCCTAATTTTGTAATCTGTTTGTGCAATCTTTGGACATTTGCAGATGAGATGTGACACAGTTTCATCTTTTTCTTGGCAGAGCTGACATTTGCTATTAGCACTACTTCCTTGAATTTTAGCTTTCATCATGTTGGTTTGGAGTGCTTGTTTTTGTGCAGCAAAAATCAAGCCTTTGGTTTCTTTCTTAAGGGTTATATTATTATTTTGAACACAGCATCATAGCATTGTAGAATTGAGGCTCATCAAGTGTATCCCACGACTGGAACAGAAATACCACAGCTGAAGAAACAAGAGCACCCAACCATTATTTTGAAATCTCCAGTGAAGGAGGGTCCACCACCTTACTGTCTCTTACTGTCAGGACATCCTCCCAAATGTTTCTACAAATCACCTTCTTGTTGTTTGAATCCATTACTTTAGGTCCTACCCTTGGAACCACAGAAAACAAGCTTGCTCTATCTTGGTGGTGACAGTTCTTCAAATGGCAGACAAGCTCCATAAAGCTTTGTTCCTGGTCTTTTTATAGTCTTGGTCACCATCTTCTGACTTGTAGAAACTGATTTGGGGATGGCTTAATGGGTGTAATATGGACAGATATACATAAAGCCATAAAGTACAGGTCAATGGAACTATGATGTAGTCCATAAATTGTTATTCCTTATTGTTCTTGTAAACATATATGTTTTCTTTATCTTGTGTATTGTCTTTAATATAAGATTGTGCTTTTTGTACATAAAAGGGGGCAGGTAGGTGGTATTTCATACTATACTGGGGAGGTAGAATATGGGGTGCTTGGTATAACTTTGTAAAACTTTGTTCATTATACTTTGGGCACATGGTGTAACTGTTCCATTGCTTGTAAATGGTGTCTTCTGTCTTGCTTCAGGAATTTTCTATGATAGCTGCCTCTATAGTATTATAACCATTCTGTACATC